AACTAGGACATTATATAGGTGGGATAAACAGTACTGCCAGGTAGAATTTTTCTTGTTAAATTGGCCTTCATTTCTTAAGCCTCTTACTTTACTTTTTCAAAGTCGTCTAGCAACATGGAAATTCACGGGACTCAGGTGCTAGTATAGTTTTCTCTTCACTTTTTTTCCTCCTATTTTCAAAGGAATTGCTTCCAGTGCAAAGAAGTAATCTTCCTGTTGACTTCTTCAGTATGCTTTAAAGTTGTTCAGAAAACCTGAAATGGGTAATAAGAGAAAGTTTGTCACTATATCTATTGACATCTGGACAAAAATATATATAGTCAAGGAATCTAACTTTTTTGGACACATCAACATGAAATGTATGAACAATAGATTCTAACACATTATCAATTTCATTGCAAATTGTACATCAAAATGTCAATATTTTGATCAATCCCTATCCTCATAATTCACCTTTCTTTATATTTGGCCTCTAACGTCTCTCTACTCTAATGATAAGAATAGCCTACATTTAAAGTATAGAATTAATCTCCTATTATTTCCTCCAGTACTCCAAATATTAGTCTCACCACAGATGTAATTGCTGTCATTTTTGAAAACTTTAAAATGACTTTAGCTTGTATTATATAAATCATATTTTAATAAGCTTTACTATGAAATCATTATCCAAAGCATGAAAAATTGAAGAAAGGAAACATTCTTTAAACTTTAGAAAACTATACTTTTTATAATTTGCAATTTGTGACATCCAATTAATTATCCCACTTAATGTGTGTTTAAGAAAAATAAATTAAGGAATGTATACACTGTTTTTCAGTCTCTCTTATCTCTTTCTTTCTTTCTCTCTCTCTAAAGATAGAATAGTTCTTTTAGGACACAAAAATAAAAATATAGCACTGCACTATTTTTGTAGAAATCTTGCAACAAGAAATCAATGATTGATTCAATTTAAAAGAATAGTTCAGCAATAAATCTGTATCATCAGAAAACCAAACCTCTTTCACAAATAAATGTGTCTACTGCATCATGTGACTGACCTGAGAATGAAAAGATTTCAGGGGCTCAGAGAATACCATGTGAAAAACATATCATTATAATTTTGGTAGAATTCTTTAGGAACCATAGCATACTCTCCACCAGAATAAGGTGATCTTGGAGGAAGATTTTTGTCATTTTGCTCTTGTGATTAAAAATTTAAGTCAAATAGTAATATATATTATAGATAAATATTAGAAAAATAGTGTGCATTTCTCATACTTTAAAGAATCAAATTCACACCACAAGAGATATAATTCAAATATTTCATTCTTGACATTATAACTGGTCAACTCAGAGATGTAAGAATATCTTTTCACTCATTATCACATCCAACAGTCCCTGAAATCTACAGTGGACCTAGTAGAGGTAGTAAAGCAATAAATGAACAGGCCTAAATCTTTTAAAAGTGAAAGCTAGAAGTTACACCGAACTGAACACTGTAATAGCTTCCTTATAGTGCATGAGCATGGGAAGTATCTTTTACTGAAAAATCAGAATGGGTATGGTTGACTAGGAATTTAAAGATTTCATGTGGTTTTATAAGATTAAGGAATTCAGCTAATTTTTTTTTCTGTTTATCAAGTAAGCAAACCACTTCTCTATTACTCAGGTTATAGTCTTTATAATTTGGTCATAACTTCATCTTGCTTTTGTATCTCATCAGATTAAATGAGGGGTAAATGAAAATTTTCAAGGGTGTGTATAAGTAATTTTAAAATGCTGTTCTCCTGAGATAAATTTCATTTTATACATCAAAGATTTTAGTAGCTGTTTTGTCTATTACAAACTTGTTAAAAAATCTAGGCTTTTGTTATTATTGTTTATATTCTCTGCCTTTTTCTTACTTTATAGCTAATGACAAAGAACGAAATGTTATCATTCGCTGGTAAATGGATGGAATTGGAGAACATCATTCTGAGTGAGGTTAGCCTGGCCCAAAAGACCAAAAATCGTATGTTCTCCCTCATATGTGGACATTAGATCAAGGGCAAACACAACAAGGGGATTGGACTATGAGCACATGATAAAAGCAAGAGCACACAAGGGAGGGGTGAGGATAGGTAAGACACCTAAAAAATTAGCTAGCATTTGTTGCCCTTAACGCAGAGAAACTAAAGCAGATACCTTAAAGCAACTGAGGCCAACAGGAAAAGGGGACCAGGAACTAGAGAAAAGGTTAGATCAAAAACAATTCTAAACAATTTAACAGAATTCTCACTAATGACTTAGCCCTCAGCCTTACATAATTTATCCACTTCCTAGACATTTTACCAGGAGGAAAGAGATCTAAGAAGTGTTTGTAACTGCAGAAATAATTCATTGATTCATTTATATATCCACTTGACACTCAATATCTGTCATGCATAAAGTTCCCTTTCTCACATTAGAAATAGAACTATGAGTGTAATATTGTTCCTGCATGCTACAATCATGTAACTCCTAGCCTGAAGATTTCTGAGGAACTTAAACTGAAAGACTTCTGGAAAGTGATCATCACCAACCTCTCTTTCAGGGCCTCTTACCCTGCCTTATTAACAGATCTAGGACATACTTTATGAGGTCACTGCTAAGTCTTGTCAATGTACACTCAAGTACTACCTGAGGATATTTTGAGAGGCTGTATGCACAATTGTTCTATAAGATATCATCTAGTGACACCTTAGCCGTCTGCTATGATTTGGATATGATTTGAATACGTTCCCCAAGAGTTCATCTGTTAGGAGTTTTGTCTTCAGTGTGACAGTTTCATAAGGTGTACCTAATAGGAAGTAATTAGGTTACTGAGGTCACTGTTCCTTGAAGGAATTGATGTAGGACTTGTGGGGCTCTGGTTCGCTCTCATAAGACAGTTATAAAAAAGCAAACCTGGCCCCTCCTTGATCTCTCTGGCTTTCTGTCTAACCATGTGATCTTTCCTTCTCAGACTTTCTCCCACCATGATGCTATATGTCACAATGTAACACATTCAAGGGGGCTCTCATCAGAGGCTGAGTCAATCTTAGATTTCACCTCCAAAACTGTGTGCTGAATAAGCCTCTTTTCTTTATGCATTATTCAGCCACACACATATTGTCACATCAATGGAAAATAGACTAATATACTACCTTTGTGTATGTATACTCTGATATTCACACAATGACAAAAATCACCTGACATTTTTCTCAGAACATATTCCTACTGTTAAGCAGCACATGTTTTTACTGTATCCCAAATCATAACCCCATTCCTTAATCTCTGCCTTTTCCCAAATTCTTTTAGTCTCTACATCATATAAAAAACTGCAAGCCAATTCCATAGTGAAGTGTTTAAAATTTTATACTTTGTAGCTATACTGTCTACATTCAAAGCTTGTTTCTTTTTTCAACTAGCTATGCACAATAAGACAAACATTAAAGATCTCTATGCTTCATTTTCCTCATAAAAAGGAATAATAATTGTATCTAGAGTTTAAAGGGAGACTTAAATGAACTAATATACATATAGAACATGGAATGGTGCCTCAATCATAGTATGGATTCATAACTATCAAATAACTATTATCAACATTGTTGTCATTGTGATTATCATCAGCAGTTATTGTCACTGTACAGCATGAATAATAATAATAGTAAACTACTTAATCCTTAAGAGTCTATTCCCAAAACCAAATAACCTAATTAATTTGAATATTTCTCAGAACTGTCTCTATATTATAACAGGCCAAGAATAGCTAAACTGTTATTATTTTTTATTTATTTTTTTTTCAATTGATCTTCATTAACTTTATTTCCGTAGTGGTAAAATAGCTATAGAGTACAGACCCAGGGAAGATGCCAAAAGTGAAGAACTACACGAGTTCACTCATGTGGAGAGGAAAGCTCAAGGGTGACTTAGCCAGTGTAGCCATGCTTCAAAACAGGCAACAGGATTTGGAGGACTTGTGCACATATCATTCTTAGCAAAATGGGAACTTCAAGTGAATTAATTGAATACAGGGGATTTCTGGGGCGTTTCCTAAACTCCCAGTCTTAACTCTGAGCTCTTGTTTGAAGTGTGGAGAACAGGACTGAGGCCTCTGAGTACTACTATAGTTGTGGATACAAGAGAGGGTCTGAGCTCCCTCCCTCTGCAGGGGTTCAAGAGGTCAGGATGATTGAACATAAATCTTTTTAGAACTCTTCCCAAACAGGATCCCAGGGATTGGGAACAAAGTACTACCTTCAGCCTTATGCCATTATTTTATGCCTGTGAAAACCATTACGCTTTTCAACTGTGGAGTACTACCTAAATCTCAGCATCTTCCCATGTCTCACGGAGAATATTTTGCCTTCCAAAGAACCTTTCCATAAATCAATTATCTGAAAGTCCCTAAATCTTAAGGATTAAGTTGCCAAAGTAATTTTTAGAAGGAAATAGATACTACTTACTGTGTATAGGATAGGCTAAGAGGGGAGGAGCAAAAAGTGTGTTTCATGCCAGTGGGAACTTAATTTAGGGATTTTTTTGATCATTTAACTTGACCTGAAGTTGTGAAGTGTTTTGTCTTGAAACGGTAGAGATAAAGCTGAAAAAGTATTGGAAGCTTTTCCCATGTAAAATAATTATGTTCATTCAGTTTAAATAAAACCAGTCACAGTTTAGGAGGCCTAGCTTCCTGTGAAATGAGAGAGAAGTCAGCACTGATTGCAGAAATCTGATTATAACAGATCCATCCTTAAAACCATCACAATGTGCCCAGCCCTGTGCAAGGCGAGGGGAATAAATAGGATGAAGCCTATTTTGGGACTTTACATGATGGGCCATGGTGGACAATAAACATACAGTAAAATAGGTTGTTGTAAGAAGGGCTCTGAAGGAAGTAAAGTCTTGTCCACGCGTGCACATGGGGTAGACCTCTGAGTCGTGGTGGTGTCACTTCTAGATTCTCACTGTGTTGAGCCAAGGCAGGATGTGGTTGCTTCCCCAGGCCAATGTAAGGGGCCATGTCAGACTCTAACCTTCTGTGTCAGGCTGAATTGCCCACCGCCCAAGACCCCTCCTGCAGAACTTTTGGAATCATCCCTGATTCTCTGGTAGCCCCAACAAGGGAGTGGTGGATCATGAACCGTGGAACTTAGAGTTTAGAGGAAATGGCAGCATTGTGGAATAAATAACTGTAATGTGTGCTGTCTTGCCTGCACCCTAATTGGCTCTGATTTCACAAGCGAGTTGCTTTTCTTGGAAGCAGTACAGCCAAGGGGAAGAGTATCTCTGGGATGTCCGCTTGGAAGAGGAGAAGCTCAGGTTGCCCCAACTGGATTAGCCCTGGGAATATCCCTGGAGGCCCCGCCCTGCCCTGCCATACCCAATGGGCTGCTGGCCCCAGGTCTGAGCTCCAACCCCGCCTCGCTGTGGGAGAGTGGCCCCATAAAAGGCATTTGTGGCCTCCTCTAGGGGAATGACATTTGGGTCTTGTCTTTGTGGGAAAAGGCTCCTTACTGCAGGGCCTGAAGCCCAACTGGGCTGAGCCTTGTAAGGGTTTGTTTCCTAAACAAAGATGTCATAAAGAAAGGGTGGGCGTGACAGGGCAGGAGCTGTGCCAAGGTGAGCTAGGGAAGCTGCCAGAAGGCATTACTCCCTTGACTCCTACTGAGTCTGCGACTCTGCATGACATGTCCCTTCTAGGTATTTGGGCCCCAAGGCTCCTTCTCATGTCGCTAGAGTTATGGTTGTTGACCTAGGGTTTTCCCATTCCGAAGAGGGCCCAGGACTTGGTCCAGCTGACCTCCGAAGCGCCTGGGCCAACTGAGCCCTGGTCCTTACACTCCTGGGACCTCCTTCCTGACTCGCCGGAGAAGTTCACACCCCCGGCAAACCTGGGGGGCTTTGATTATCTGGGATCATCTGCTCCTTCGCAGGTGCTCTCCCGACCTCACTTGTTGACTGACAGTTTGCTTCCTTTCCTGGACCGGGAATCTGCTAGGCAGCTGTCTCCAGAGCCAGATCAGTTTGCTGTTGCACACAAGGAGCTGCGTGACAAGCTAAATCTGCCTGAGAGACCCCCAGAAGCGGTGCCCATGCCCAGTGGGGAACAGAATCAGGCCCCAGCTCTGCCTCTTCTACTCAAAAGTAAGACTCAGCCTGTCAGTCTAGATCAGGCTTCAGATCAAGTATTTGATGTGTTTGTTCCACTTCTTGATCATAAGAGATCAAAAAGAAAAATGTTTATTGGTTTACCCTAGAAACTGAAAAAGTATGTAGCTCAGCATCACGGACTTGAGGACACTGTGGTTGGAACTCCACACCAATTTGCAAACCTTCAGCTTCAGACACAATCCTTGCAGGATGATGACACAGATCCAGGTCTGAGCACAGCTGATTCTGACAGCCCTCCTCTGAAACCTCAGGAGAGCACAGATGAGCCTCCAGAGCCCCTTGAGCAAGTTGAACCTTCTGCAGTCCAGCAAGAAGCCCCAGTTCAACCCTCAGACTTGCCAAAAGTCACCGTGAAACATATCGATCTGGAGGTTACACTAACTCCAGAGCCTTCTCCAAGACAGAAGCAGGCCTCAGAGAATACTGAGGACGTAACACTCTCATCCATCCAACAAGAGGCTCCAGCTCAGACTTCAGAGCTCCCTGAAGACACTGAACCTTCTGCAAGCCAGATGGAAGCCCCAGTTCAGCCTACAACTCCTCCGAAAGAAGTCAAACCCCCTGTTGAGCAAGATCCTACAGATGAAGCTCCAGAGTCCCCTATGGAGAACACAGCTCCAACTCTACCAAATCAGGAGGTGACGGTTCAACCTCCAGCTCAGGATCAAGCTCAACAAACTATCTTGCCCAGTGTTACAGGTAATCCTGTGGATGTGGAAATCACCATGACATCAGAGCCTACCAAGAAGGCTGCATCTTCTCTAGCCCAGCCACAGGCCCCAGCTGAGCCTTCTGAATCTCCCGGGGAGGCTGAAACTTCTGGAACCCATCTGCAGTCCCCAGTTCAGCCTCTAGAGTATGGTGAGGAGCTTCAACCTTCTTTTACCTAGCAAGTGGTCCCACCTCAGCCTTCAGGCCCTCTTTCAGAGACTGAAACTTCTCCCAGTGAGCAAGAACAGCCAGCTCAACCTTCTGAGTCTTCTGAGGAATTGGAACCTTCTGGAAGCCAGACAGAAGCTCCAGTTCAGCCTGCAAAGCCATCTGAGGAAGTCAAGCCTTCACCTGAGCAAGAGGTTCCAGTTCAAGCTCCAGAGGCTTCAGTTCAAGCTCCAGAGGCGACAGTTCAAGCTCCAGAGGTGACAGTTCAAGCTCCTGTTCAGAATCAAGCACAACAGGATAACTTGGCCAGTGAAACAAGTAAGCCTGTGGATGTGGCAATTACCATAACTCCAGAGCCAGCCCAGGAGGCTGCATCTGCTCTAACTCAGCCTTCAGAGTATGCTGAAGGGGCAGAACCTTCTCTCGGTGAGAAGGAACAAACAGTTCAGCCTTCTGTGTCTCCTGGGGAGGCTCAACCTTCTGGAATTCACATGGCTGCTCCAGTACAGGCCTCAGAGCATACTGAGGAGTTTGAACTTCCTCCACCCCAGCAGGAACAACCAGCTGAGTCCTCAGTGTCCTCTGAACAGTCTGAAGCTTTGAAAAACCAGCATGAGATTACAACTCAGATGCCAGAACCCTCAGAAAAGGATGAACTTTCTCCAGTCAATCAAGGGGCTACAACTCAGCCAGAAGAGCTTCCTGAGGAACCTTCTCCAAGCCAGCAGGAGAGCTCAGTTCCTCCTGTAATGCCCCCTGCGAATGCTGAACTTTCACTAATTCAGCCACAACTCCCAACTCCGTCTCCAGAATCCTCTGAGGAGGCTAGTGATCTTCCTCCATTGGCAGATAGCACATCACTTTCACCTCACGATCTCAACTCCAGAACCCACTACAGAGGCTGAACATTCTACCAATGTGAAGACGACAACAGCTCTTCCTCCAAAGCACCCTGAGGGGCACTTCCACATCCAGGCCAGGATCAGGCTCAGCGTCCACACTTGTTGTAAAGGATGGCTGTTTTCAAGAATCCAAGTTCATGTTGTGTTTGTTGTCCCACCACTGTACAACTGAAGCAGTTGTCTTCTTCTTTGGCTTTTTTTTTTTGTAGAAATCTTGGTTGCAATTTAATGACAGAGTTGAACTTTGGAACATTTCAGGCATGGCATGGAATGCAGTTTTTACAGCAAGTGTAAGTGGAATAGAAGATAAGCATGTTTCAAAACTGAATTATGTCTTTCATGTAGTCTCATAGATATTGAAAATGACCATTTAATTCCATTGCATTTTTCAGAATTCTCAGTCGTAATCCTCTGACAACTGTCGAAGATTCCCATCTTTTTAAATTGCCAGCATTAAAGTACCTGCATACAATGAATAGCCAAGCCTGGTCCTGTGTATAATTTCTTATGACATATATGGCATTTAAAATGCTTTGCTTTTTGGTGCTGTATGAGAATTTTTTCATCATCAAAATCTCTATTACAATACCAGCACCACAGCTTCAGCTGCTTCTTCTTTTTGCGACCCATGACTGCGCTCTACCGACAAAGTAAAAAGGAGGAGAAAAAAGAAGGAAAAAAAGCGAGGAGAAAAATCGCCCGCTTTTCCGACCCAACGGCCACACTGCGTCCAAATTAATCAAATTTTCCTAGAACTCACAAATTTTGACCTTGGGCACAGATATAAGCAGTTTCTAGAGCTGTGTTCTGGGCTGAATTGTATTTATATGCATCCCAAGGCCAGTGCTTGAAACAGTAATGACATTGCTTATATAGTATACAGTCAAATCTTTTCTCAGAAATCAGGCCCACCTCCAACATTATTCTTCCTTGAATAGTCACTGTAACCTTTACACTTACAAAGGCCAGAAACCTTGCATGGAACAGTCCCTCTTAAAACTTCATTTTCCACATCTAGCTCAGCAACCATGGAGGTCACTGAACTCTGTTTTTTGAGATATCACTGGATACTCAGCTTTCCATAGTCATTCCCAGGTACTATGATCCTTTACCTAAACTCAGTAAATTCATTGGCCATTTCGGTCCCTCTTTAATCCATTTCTCCATAGTCAACAGAATAATGTACTAAAAACACAAACACAAGTATTTCTCCTTCTTGCCTTAGAAAAATATTTCCATAGCTCTTAGAATGAAACACAGAGTTATTAACATGAACATAAGGATTTCTGAGATATGATGCAGCCAGATTGAGTTCAACTCAGGCCACAGAACATCTTGTCAACACTTTCTCATAAACTGGCCTTTTGCAAATCTTTCATCATACTGTGCTGTGTTCACTCCTATAATTTCTATTCTTTCTTCTCAGAAAGTTCCCTAACCCATACCTTGCCTCCATCTTTTTGTCCTACTAATGCCTATTCATCCACCTGTTCAGAGTGCATCACTTTCTCCAAGAAACCAGACTAACACTCTTTTCGAAACTGTTCTTCTGATTCCTGACATTAATGTAATTCAACTGTTAATTACACAAACATTTTCCCTAATTATAATGTAACTTCCATGAGGGGAATGATCTGGTATCTATTATTCACAGTTAATTCCAGAGAGCCTTAATATTTTTTTTTTTTGAAGCAGAGTCTTGCCATTCAGTCTGGTTTCAAACTCAGGATGCTCCTGCCTCAGCCTCCCAAGTGCTTAGATGACAAATATGTGCCACCACACTGAGCAAGATATCATATGTTTTGATGCACAAACAGCTAATATACTATTAAGATTCAGTATTGTGATAAGTGAAATAAGCAAACATTAAGGAAAAGATACTGCATGATCTCACATATCTGTGCAAACTAAAAGAAAATTTTAATGTATTAATGTTAACTTGAGGTGGGAAAAAGGAGCAAAATCCAGATATGTAGGCCAAATGGGAATAAACTTGTAGTTACATAGGGTGAATAAATGCAGAGTTCTAATGTACAGGAGAAGTACAGCTACTGATACAATATTTCATATTGAAAATTTGCCAAGACAGTAGATTTTAAGCATTCTTCTCACAAATCAAAGGAAAAAAGAAAGGTAATTCTGGTGATAATGGATAGGTTACTCTTCCTACATGTAGTCCTCATTTCCCTATGCACATGTATGTCCAAGCATCGTGGTATATACCTTAAATGTGTACAATAGAAAATACCTTAAAAGAAAAAAAAATAGCTCAACCAAGTTACCAAAGGCCAATTACTGATTCAGAGCATAGATTTTCTAAAACCTAATTCTCAATTCCACATTTAATTTCAGAATAAGGCAGAACCACCACCCCCGTTTCCTAAAGTTTCACTGTTCCTTTATTAATAGCAAATTCAGGACTTCAAGTTTCAGTCCTGGATGATTTCCCAGCTCTTCAACAATAGAAAAATGATTAGTATTTGATTCACCTGCTAAAGAAATTGACATCATATTTTGTACAAAAAAGATAATATTAAAATTACCTCCATCTGTAGGAGCCACTCAATCATTTTTCCTAATGTGGAAGAGGTAAACAATGACAGCAAATTTCCAGTCTTCGATAAGAATGGAATATAAGAAATTTAAAACTAACCTTACATTCTCCAAGAAAACACCTGTTTTAACTATGAAATTGAAGAGAAATTTGGAAAGTGCTCCTAGGTATATCCAAATCATTATTAACGAATTCCTTTTATACTGCTCTTTGCAATTGTTTATGCCGATGCATCTTGCATGGTAATTATGCTATAAGAAATCTCTATGATAATAACAAATTTATCCAGCATCTTCCAAATAATAAATAACTATCAAAAGCAAATATATGATGTATGCATTTCAAAAGTCTTTAATTAAGATTAAACACATTCTTTCTTCTATTTAATTTTGGAAAAATAGTTCACATACTGGGTTTTCCTCCACATATTTTTGGCCAGTTCTTTACAGCTTCCTTCAGAGTTGTTCCTGTTTTCAAGAGTAAATCAGATGTTATGTACTTAGGATTCTTACTTGGTAATCATAGCAAGAATTTCATTATTGTTCACTAAATATTTGCTTTCCTTTTCTGGAAAAGATCATCCTTCTCCCCATCCTCTCATAATTAGCTTTGACTCAATTTGACTATGGAGATGTGTCCAGACAAGCTGTAAGGGTCAATTCATCCTTCATTTTTCCATCTGCATAATGATAAACAATGTTCCCTATGAAAGTTGTTTAGAAGTTTGTGCCCCAGAGATAAGAGTACAGTCAAAACCACCCACAATAGACATACAGCAAAAGTGAGAAGAAAACATTTGTTACTGCAAATCACAAGGCCTGAGGGATTCTTTGTCACTGTTGCCTAACAACGTCTACCCTAACTGATGAAACTATCTTATTTTCTTACTCTGTTCTATGACATTGACATTAGCTGCTACCTAAACAGGAGTTCTTTATTTTTAAATGAAATGCAGAATCTGTGGAAAGAAAATGTTAGAAAGTATACTCAAAATGATAGCTAGGTGAGATAATGCTCCTGTTAATTAGCTAGATTTAATCATTCCACAATGTATATATTCTTTAAAACATCAAGTTGTACATGATAAATACATACATATTATCTGAAATTTTAAAATAAATAAATTTGAAGACAACTTCATCACTAAAATGTGTTACGGCAGAAAGATTTAGTTGGATAAAAATGAAGATTTTCATATTGGATTTAGCTTTTTGATGGTATTATAGGTACAGAAGCCAGTTTTCAGTAGGTGAAGGAGCAACTGGAAGGTGGAACTTGAAGAAATTAAATATAGTTTGCTTGGAGCTGCGGGAGAGGATTCATAATCAAAGGCAATTCCTTTTAGGGGGCTTGGATCTAGAACAGAGGATTAGGAGAAGGAAATAGAGTACCCAAAGAACATGTTGTTTTATTAGGGGAGGAGAAGGAAGAAGAGAAAAGTTTCAGTTTAGTCCTGTAGAGTTTGATGTGGGAGGAGGACTGAGAAGTAGAAAATCCTACAGATTTAAAGGTATTACTGTCATAATAGATGAAAGGTCACAGCTGACCTTTTGCAAATCACATACATTGATTTCTTAAGCAAACAAGACCAAAAACTATCTAATTGATCTCAGATGCATGAAGCACAGAGCTGCATTCATCATGTTCCAACCCACTTTCAAAGCAGCATTTTTAATATGATTTCACCAAGTATCCCTGACCAAAACATTTGACCACATAAAATGAGTATACTGCCTTTGAAAGTCATGTATGGCATACAAAACCATGTTTGAATCATGTGGGGAGCTGGACAATGTATAATCCATGCAAGTATATAGAGAGACAAAGAAACACAGTAAGTCCTTGATGGAAAGAATCAGGGAGGAGGGAGAGACAAACAGGAGCAGGAGGATGAGAAAAAGAGTGAAGGAAGTGGGGGGAAGGAAAGAAAAGGGGCTTTTTGGAGTCAGAGAATAATCTTTCCTTACTCTGGTCATCCAATTCCTTTGAAATTAATTTTTCCTTTGAAAAACTGTCCTAACAACATTGGGAACACATTCCTAATTTGAGTGGATATTTTAAAGACTAATTGGACCTTACTTATACATTAAATGGTCATCTTAGCAAAAGTTAATCTCTGTGTATAAACTTTGAATCTATATATAGACATAAATAAAGTTAAATATTAGCTATGATACATGGTAAAGTTAAATATTAGCTATGATACATGGTTGGGGGAATGTTATTTCAAAGGGTTCAGCATTATTTCTAATTAAACTATCCTAATAGCAAAATTTTAGAGATTCTGTACATTTTCTTTATCTAAGAAAAATTTAAAACTCGGTTATTGGCAGAATGCCTCTCACCTTAGACTTTTAGATTGCAGCAAACTTTTGTTAACAGATATTAACAGTTAGTGTTACACATCTTTGAAATACTTTATTTTATTGAATTTTTTATGCACAGTTGT